TGTGCATTAGCATAGCCTAATGTGCATTAATTTAGTACTTCATATTGGAGGTACTAAATTTAATGTGCATTAGTAAAAACACATTAATACTCAGTGCCCACTGAGAGAGTTTTCTGGGCCTAATAGTAATAAGATTGAAATTTGAAGTTACAAATAATCTGGGATATGATGGTTGGAGTGAATTGTTTTTAGTTCACATCTTTAAGACTGATTGCTGAAATTTTAAAGTTATTGCATTACATCTTTAGTTTAAATAACTCTAAGCAGGCTGTTGGTGCATTCATTACCAGATGGATTGAGCATCTTATATAGTGTGACTACAGCTGGTCAGTGTTTTTCATATTCTTGATTCTTCTTGATTTTTTTTCCCCCTAAAACAAACTACATTTCATGTGTATTCAACATGACAAATTCAAGTTAAATTGTTTTTAACCACTAAATGCCATTTTAGATCAAAGAAGAATTTTTTGTTTTGAATTAGTTTGAAACTTCTTAAGGAAAATAAAATGTTCAGTTCAAAATTAAGGGTTTTTTTTGTATGTTTTGTTTTTCATTTGAACATTCCAGAGAACAATTAATATTTTGGCCAGTTCTAATGTTATGAGTAAATGCATAGAATTACTCTTTTTTGTATACTTGAACACCCAACAACTAGTTTCCTCATATGCTTGAACTCTAGGAATTGTTACACGAAAAAGCAATAAAGTGCTGGAAGAAAGAGGATGGTTCAGAGAAAAAACTAGTTATACCTGTTTTCCAATGTAGTGGATATTACTTTTTATGTCCAAAGTTGTAACTATTAAGATCTATTAACGGATTTGAATGTTGAGTAGGTGGGCATCAAAATCAGTTTAATTACAAGTATACATAATAATAAACACTTTAAAATGTAGTACAGTAGATTATCATATGTAGAGTTACTTTTTTTTACCTTGTGCTTAATTATTAATATTCTCTTTACTTTCTTCTGCCCCCTTTCTTTTAAGTGGCTTTTTTTCTTTTAAGTTGGTTACACAGCAAACTGTTTATTATGGCAGTTAAGGAAATTATCTCAGGGTTCCCTGTTCAAATGTCTTTGGCTGCGCATAATAGCGTGATGACTTTGGTGCTTAGTAAGTCAGATGAAACAACATCTTTATTCTCACATCAGTGAACATGAGCAAAACATGAAAAAAGAGGTCTTTCGACCGATTTGTTGCTGAGGAGTGTGCCAAAGTATCAGGTCATAAATTTGATCTTACATGTACAATATTTTTGTTCTTGATGGCACTGAATAATCTCTTTAGCATTTTTCTTGTGGCATGAGCACTAAACAAGTACATTTCCTACAGAGTTGTTTTTTCCCAAATGACCAACCTTTTAAAATATGACAGACATGTATTCAGCAGACAAGAATCCCTGTACACGTTTTTTTTTTTTTTAAATAAGTCTTTTAGATTTAGGTGTCAAAAGCAATTTTGGATCACTAATGGAAGACTTGGTTGTTCCATAAGAATCTTATACTTATCAAGTCAGCAAAAAGATAATCTTGACATTCTAAGTCTTGATCTAAGTATTCCTTTCTGCTTCATGAAAATTCAGCTTTTAAAATACTTTATACAGTTAAAGCTCTGTTATCCAGCATGGGAGGTGTGGGGGGAGGGGGCAGTGTGCTGGCTATCTAAAAATTCTGGTTACCTGAGAGTTATACTATCAAGGAATACAGTGCCATACTTGTAGTGTAAATTTTCAAAGAATTAGTGTACAGTACATTACAGTATAACATACTGAATAAAGAATAAAATAGTATACAGGTACTCACTAATGAAGTATTAATAAAGCAGCACTGGAGTTAAGAGAAATCCTGAAGCAGTGATGTACGGTACACTTAAGTGATCTAGGTGTATGCCATGCGCTGCCACTACTGTGCTACATGTAACTTTAAAGTACAGTACACTTAATGCTACACTTATAACTAAACTTGTAATACTTATAACTAAAACTATTTACACTACTTTACTGTACATAATTTACCATCTCTTTAGAGATTTAGTGCCAGTGCTGGAAATTCTGGTTAATAGAGTATTGTGCTTAGTAAAATGCTGGATAACACAGCTTTTACTGTATATTATAAAATATTTCTGAAAAGAGCAGCTTTTCTGAGAAATAATACTGCATAATTTACAATCAAATTACCTACCTGCTTTGTGGAAGCAACATCCAAATATTAATGTACTGATTTCATCAGTCTATTCTAATTTAATATCAGGATTCCAATTTTGGATGCACATTAACAATAGTTGGGGTCATTGCAAAATTCTTCCATGGCAAACAAATGTATAGTTTGGGATAATTTGATAATATATTTACTAGAAAAACATTTTTGCTTGTTTAAAGTAAAATATCTGCCAGAATATTCGTTCTTTAACTTTAGATTGATAATTTAAATACACTTACTTTGCACTATTACACAGTTTGATATGGACATGTACTATCTAATGAATTAGCCACTGGTAAGAACTTCTTCCTGCTTCTGGGGCTGGAGCATGATAATTGCAATACCTGCAGAATTTACATTACCATGTGAGCTTCTAAATCACGTGTTCAGTATAAACTCAGTAATATTCAATCAAACTTATATATGTAACTGTTGTACCTGGGAATTCTTTCTTTTTGATGATTGGCGATGAAGCTTTCTATGTATCATTGTATTGTGTCACATTGTATAGTAATCCTGCAGAGCTAGTTCCAGCATGGCAAATTTCAGGAATAGGAGCAGAGTCTGATGGCTGCTATAGATACTGGGTTTTCTTGTCTTCCAGAAAACAATCTACGTAACTGTTTGGTCAGTTGGCCCTGCCTGCAGTGCTCCCTACTTTGGAGATCCTATAGCTTGAGTTGTTTAAAAGGCCCAGTATTTTGCAGTATGTGGATTTAAAACAAAGGATTTTGTGATATGAACTAAAAGAGGCAACCTAGAGTCAGACAGAATAGGTCTGACCTGGAGACCACTAGAACTGTAGCTAAATGATGCCTATGTAAAATAAATGTAATTTGATACATGTGAACTATATGTGAATTGGAGAACAAATTAGCAGTAATTTAACCAAATGTAACTTTGTAAAAATAAAATACAAATGGTGTACCAAACACTTGGATATGGCTTGCTTTTTGTGTAGATATATAGCAATACTTACTGCCCAAAGTATTTCAGATATATTTTTTTCCAATTGGTTATTTTTTTCCTTCATTATACAGTTTAAAAGCAAAAGCCTATGGTAGTTAATAAATATTTTAAACAGTGTTTCATGTTGAAGTTATGGAACATAATTGTCAATTAAGAAATATGGGGAACATTAATTGAGTGATTATTTTTCACAAAAGCACAAGGAAAACAAAATAATTCAATTCTGTGAGATTTTAACAGGCAGCTATTGAAACAAAGATAAAATGAGTTGTCTAGTTTTACAGGAACAAATGCAAACTCTTAAGTTTAATTTACATAATACTTGATGAATTTGAGCAAAATAATTTAAAGAGGATTTTTTTTGTTTGTTTTACCCCGCCCCTGCCTCCAAACATTCTGGACATATTTAAGTCACTCTACATATAGGTATTCTAATGTGTTGTCTTGAATAATGAAGCAGTTTTACTGTAAAAACGCCTGATGTGTGAGTACAACTCAATGTATACATAGTGGCTATGTAATGTAATGCAACACAATGGAATGTAGTATACATTTATAACATATAAAGTTGTGTGTGTATGTGTTGTGTACATGTAGGTACATAATCCAGCCACTTAAGAACAACTAAATAATGAATTAAGGCCTTACTTACAATCATAGAACAGTAGGGTAGAAGGTCATCTAGTCTAACCCCCTGCTCAAGGCAGGATTGTCCCTGACTAAATCATTTTAGTCAAGTGTCTGTTCAAGTTGCACTTAAAAATGTCCAAGGATGGATATTCTACAACTTCTCTGGGAAGCCTGTTCTAATGCTTAACCACCCTCATAATGAGAAAATTACTTCCAGTATCCAACCTAAATGTCCTTGGCTGCAATTTAAGACCATAGCTCCTAGTCCTGTCTCCTGTAGCCACGGAATAGTCTCCATCCTCCATATGAATACCCTTTATGTATTTGAAGACTGTTTTAAAATGCCTTTATAAATCTTAGGCTGCCTATGCAATATACAAGGTCCAAACTTGCCCACCTTTTATCCCTGCTCCTTCAGTGCCCTTTTATTTTGTTTAAAGCAATATTCCACCCAAGCCACAAATGCAAAGCATTAATGTAACAGGGGGTCCCTAACCCCTGTTACTAGAGGTGAGTGAGTTCAGTGCGTATAGAGGGAAGGCTGTGGGGTACAGCTTGCAAAGGGAAGCTAACGGCAAAGCTGGGAGCTTGCTAATGAGAGAGACAGATGGCAGGTGAAGGCCATAGGGGAGCAAGCCTAAAAAAAATAAGCCTGCTGATTGTTAAAAAAACAAACCAACCAAAAAAACAACCCCAACCCCTGAACCTGGGCCTGATGATCAGAGGTGTGGTGACCAGAAGCAGATGGGGCTTAAGAGCCATATAAGCCTGGCTTTTGGGAGGGAGCCGTAGTCTGGCCTGAACTTTATTAGCTAAGAGCACTCCTTGCACTGAGCTGAGAAGCAGTACTGGAGACTGGAGGAACTGTGAGTAGGTTCAGTTGAAGCAAGGCACCAGAACTAAGGAGCCTCCAGAGGGCTAGGAAAAGGGGAAAGCAATGTAGATGCAAGTAAGTGGGCTAACAAGTGCACCTTGGATAGACACTGTTAAGAGGTGGGTAGAGACAGCCTGTCTGAGAGACTAAAGAATTTTATTTTGGGGGCCAGTCAGAGTTCCCAGAATAAGGATGGTGCAGAGGGTGAGAGAGACCTTTGGACTGTGCTGAGCGGAACAGTGTGTGTCTGGTTTCTGTGAAATCATGAGTTAATCACCCCTCAAGAGAAGGGGATAATTCTAACTTATCCCTTCATATCGTTTCAAATAGGTGAAGTACCACCAGTGAGATGGATAGTGAATTTTGACAGAGATCTCTTAGATGGTTTGGTATTGGCAGCACAAGTGGCAGCTTATTGTCCATATTTGGTAAGGTTTTTATTTCAGAATAAGAATATCTTATAAGTGTTCTTTATATCTAGAACAGCATTTATTCTAAGCATTGATAACTATGTGTGGGTTCCACTTCGGAAATAATGGCTTTCATTAATTGAAAAAACATAAAGATATACACGTCAAGCCTTAAATATGCCAATTGGAGATTGATCTGTTCTTTTTTTTCCTTTGAGTATAACTTAATCTCACACTAAGAAGTCCATCTTTATAAAAATATTTAATAAATTGGAATATAGTAATTTTCATCAGTAGAATACAATGTTTTTTTTTTCCTTCTTTCCAGATTTCAACTCATTTTGTTAATATGTATACTCATCCAGAAACTCCTGAACAGTGTCTGCACAATTGCTTGATACTCGTGAGTGCTTTTCGTGTTGTGAGCCTTGACATAGATATACAGGTAAATGGCTTTATGTGATATGTGCTTTTATACATTTTGAATATTTCTATTGCATGCTGATGATACTTATTACTTCAGTAAGAATGAGTTGAGTTTCTTATTAATATTACTGAGACTCAAAAAATAAATTATAGGAACCTAAGGCCATACCTCTAGCAATCATGAATATATTTTTAAAGGTTATGCAAATGCGCCTAATGATGTAGGCTTCTGAATTACTCAGACTATGTGAGATTCAAACCTGTGTTCTGAATCACCTGGAAAAGGGCCCAGAACTTTCTTTCACATGCTATGCGAGGTACCTTAACATGCCTGTTTTTGAATTGGTGGTTTGTGTGTGTGTCTCTCTCTTGCCTTTTAACTTTGACACCTAATTCTATCCTTGGTGAAACTGATATGTTTGTGTCCATGGAAAGTTTTGGTTTTGACTTATCGGTGTTACATGAGGAATATCAGAATTGTTAGAATATTCTTCACCAATTTAAAGGGTAGAAATGGGGATCAAGTTGTTTGGTGTCAGGTACTTTTATTAAAAACTGCTTAAACTGAATCTTGAGAAACCAAGAAATGGTAAGCCATATTTCAGTTGTTTTGCTTAACATGCATTTAGGGAAGTGACTCTGTTGGAGTCACATGGGGTGCATATACATGGGGGAGATGAGATTTGCATTAAAAATGGACACATGATTTGACTTAGCTTGCCCAGGTGTGGACCTTATACTTAGATCCCTAGTTAGGTCAATCTAAGTGTGATCTGCAAAGAAGTTTAGGAGAGTTAGATCAGTCTAAAAACGGCCGACCCAATCTAAGTTAACCCTACTTCAGACGTACATTTACTTTATATTAGGTTGGCCATTTTTAGACTGATCTAACTGTTCTGAACTTCTGTGTAGTTCTCAGCACAGCCCCCAGAGCTGGAAAAACCTAACTCCTGGCCCCAGCTCTGGGGCTGTGCTTTTCCTATCTCCTCCCTGGTACCAGACTATTTTTAACTTTGCAGCCCCTCAACCCCACCTCCCAGATGGACAACTCCCTCCCTGTGGACCAGCCAGATTTTCCCCCTCCTTCCTAAGCCTGCCACCCTCACCCCATGATCTCGGTTGCTGTGTGGGACTCATCCATCATCTCCATTTGAAGGAAAGCCCACCGACAGCCTGACTGATGGCACCAGTACCCTGCGAGGGAGAGGTAGGCATGATCTCCACCCCACCCTGGCTGCTCCAGAT